GCAAACATTGGACACATTCGTAACGTAACGTAAATCGGAAAAATAGTGAATTGAATTTACTAAAAAAAATGGTTTTTCGTTAATAACGCGAAAAGTAAAAAACTTTTTTATGATTTTATTACATAATCATATGCACGCAACCGTTGTGCAACTTTTTATATGACAAAAGTTACGTAATGTTCATTATGTAACAGAGAACAACGTTTTTTTTCAGTTTTTCGCGAATTCCTCGATAACCCCTTAAGATAATTACATCATCGACCATTCGTATGAAAGCTGAATGTCTCACCTTTCCAACGAATCTACTTGTATCTTCGTACTGCTGCCGAGTCGTCTGATATGAGCAGTAGAAATTGAAAAAAAGTGAATAGGATTTGTCAAAAAATTAATGTTTTCAGTTTTTCGTCAATAACTCAAAAAGTAAAAAACTTTTTTATGATTTTATTACATAATCATATGCACACAAGAGTTGCGCAACTTTTTATATAACAAAAGTTACGTAATGTTCATTACGTAACAGAGAAACGACGTTTTTTTCGATTTTTTTTCAGTTTTTCGTGAATTTCTCGACAACCCCTTAAGTTAATAACATCATCGACCACTCGTATTAAAGCTGAATGTCTCACCTTTTCAACAAGCCTACTATCATCTTCATACTGCCATCAAGTCGCCTGCTATGAGCTTTAGAAATTGGAAAAAAAGTGAATAGGATTTGTCAAAAAATCAATGTTTTCAGTTTTTCGATAAAAACTCGAAAAGTAATATTTTTTTATGATTTTTATTGCATAATCAGAAGCACGCAAGCGTCGCGCAATTTTTTATGTAACAAAAGTTATGTAATGTTCATTACGTAACAGAGAAACGACATTTTTTCGAGTTTTTTCCAGTTTTTGGTGAATTTCTCGACAACCCCTCAAGATAATTACATCATCGACTGCTCGTATGAAAGCTGAATGTTTCACCTTTTCAGCAAGCCTACTAGCATCTTCGTACTACCGTCGAGTCACCTGCTATGAGCTTTAGAAATTGGAAAAAAGTGAATAGAAATTGTCAAAAATTCGATGTTTTCAGTTTTTCGATAAAAACTCGAAAAGTAATAAACTTTTTTATGATTTTATTGCATAATCACATGCACGCAACCGTTGCGCAACTTTTTATGTAACGAAAGTTACGTAATGTTCATTACGTAACAGAGAAACGACGTTTTTTCGATTTTTTTTCAGTTTTTTGTGAATTTCTCGACAACCCCTCAAGATAATTACATCA